AACAGCTGGCACCCTTCGTACCTGAGAATGGTCTACGGCACAACGAGGAGCCAGCTGGCGAGCGATGCCGTTGCTGCCATTAGCTGGGTACAGGAGCGCCATGGAGAGGAAGCTCTGCTCGTCGGGCATTCCAGCGGCGGCGGACTCCTCCAAGGGATCCTCAGCGCGCAGCAGGTGCACGCACAGGGCCTGGCCTTGCTAGGAGCTGTCCCGGGCTTCGGATCGTGAGTGAATACTGTGCTCCCATCGCACTTTGACGTCTGGCTGATGATGTGCAGATTTGGTGTGTACCTCAATTGGGCGAAATTCGACCCTCTCTTCGTGATCCGCATGTGGCTTCAGGGCGGTCACTCGAATTCGCCCCTTTCGCATCCGCTCTTGATCAGGCGGGCCTTCTTCAGCGATGATTACCCCATGACGAAGCTCCTCGAGTTCCAATTGCATTCGAACTGCTACGAAAGCTTCTGGTGGCCGTTGACGATGATGAGGCCTTTCGTCAACACTGAGAGCCTCATCAGTTCCATTAGGGGCTGGGGCAGCAGCGACCGCATCATGGTCATGACCGGAACTCTGGACAAGCTGATGACGCACGACATTATGGTGCAGCTGGCAGACACCTACCGCAAGGCTGTTGGTCGACTGGTCGCGGCGAAAAAGCTAGATGCCAAGGTTGACGAGGTCAAGTCGATGGCTGGAGTTGGAGGACAGGATGACGAGGGCCTGGGTGTGCGGCTGACCTGGGTTGAGGGCGCGGGGCATCATTTGCAAAACGACTGGAGCTGGAAGGTGGGAGCGGACAAGCTGTTGGCGTTCCACGAGCAGTTGGCTGCCAAGGGTGAAATCAGCGAGGGCTATCAAAAGGTGTAGCGTTCCGCATGGGTGGACGAGTAGGTTGCGTGTGCCTCGGGAGGCGTGTCGGGCGGTTGTTGGGTTGTGTTGATATTTTAGCGAAAATACCCATCTCTTCTTCTCAATTCATAACAAGTGCGATCCAAAGCCGAGGATTGTGCCTTTCTGGAATTGCAGTCCAGATGCGAAAGGTGCTCTGCACCGAGGTGTGTCACAGACCCGTTGTCAAGTGCAATCAAGCAAATAATTTTTGGTGGAGCTCCCACGAACCTGCCTTGCCTGTCAACGTCAACTTCACAACATTCCCCAAACGTGCCTGGCAAGCCCATCATGTCAACACAAACCTTCGAAACCCAAGGTGTCCGCGTCGCCGTCGAAGGCTGTGTGAGTTCTTCCCTCCGTCCTTCTCACAAGTCGAGCAGCCGTCTGACCACCTGCAGGGCCATGGCACGCTAGATGCCATCTACGCCGCCGTTGCCAAGTCCTGTGAGGCGCGCGGCTGGGACGGCGTCGACGTGCTCATCATCGGCGGCGACTTCCAAGCCGTTCGCAACGCCGCCGACCTGACCGTCATGTCCGTCCCTGCCAAGTACCGCGAGATGGGCGACTTTTGGGAGTACTACGCCGGCGCGCGCACGGCACCTTACCTAACGCTGTTCGCCGGCGGCAACCACGAGGCGGCGTCGCACCTTTGGGAGCTCTACTACGGGGGCTGGGCCGCGCCCAACATCTACTACCTCGGTGCCGCCAACGTGCTGCGCCTCGGGCCGCTGCGCATCGCCGGCATGAGCGGCATCTGGAAGGGCTTTGACTACCGCAAGGCGCATCACGAGAGGTTGCCGTTCGGCGTGGATGACGTCAAGAGTTTTTACCATATCCGCGAGGTTGACGTGCGGAAGCTGCTGCTTGTCAGGGAGCAGGTCGATGTCGGCATCAGCCATGACTGGCCGCGGGCCATTGAGAAGTGGGGAGACGAGAAGGCGCTCTGGAGGATGAAGCCCGACTTCGAGGCCGAGTCGAGAGACGGCACGCTAGGAAACGTTGCTGCCGAGTATGTGCTTGACAGACTGAGGCCACCGTACTGGTTCTCGGCGCATCTGCACTGCAAGTTCTCGGCGCTGAAGCGGTTCGATCTGGGGGACGCTGGTGCCGAGACAAAGGATGGTGGCATCAAATCTGAGACGCAAGCGCAACGAACAGCATCTGCTGCTGCTGCTACGACTATAGTAGCAGAGGCGAATCCAGAGGAGATCGACCTCAACGACGACGATGATGACGCTGTTCCCACTGCGGCTGCGAGCACTACAGCAAACCCAAACGAGATCAGCCTCGACGATGGTGACGACAACGACGACGAACCTGCCCTTGCAGCACCAACTATCAAACCCGAAGACAAGCCAAAGCCCGTCAGCCACGTCTCAGCCGACCTTCGAGCCCAGCTTCCTGCCTCTTTTGCCGCACCAAAACCCCAGCCCAATACGACACCCGGCCAGCCTGTGCCCGCAACAATCACGAACAAGCAAGTCCGCTTCCTCGCGCTCGACAAGTGCCTCCCGCGCCGCCACTTCCTTCAGCTCCTCGACATCCACCCCCATGACGGCAGCCTCGTCGCGCCGCCGTCCACGCCGCCCCAACACCCCGGTCGCTTCCCGCTGCAGTACGACCCCGAGTGGCTGGCCATCACGCGCGCCCTCCACGGCGAGCTCACAATCGGCGACCGCGCAGCCCACGCAGCGCGCGACCGCGGCGAGGCGCACTACGCGCCCCTCATCGACGAGGCGCGCGCCTGGGTCGGCGAGCATGTCGCGGCCCTCGACGTCCCGGCCAACTTTGTCCTCACGGCGCCGCCGCACGACGGGAGCCCGAACTGGCGGAACGTGCCGGATCAGCCGTTTGAGTACACGAACCCGCAGACGGCGGCATTCTGCGAGATGCTGCAGGTGGAGAACCTGTGGCACGCCACCGAGGACGAGAGGATGGCGAGGAAGGCGGAAGGACCGCCGCCGCCGAGCGAGAGGTTCGGGGGTGGTTTTCGCGGAGGGAGGGGCGGTCATGGTGGCCGGGGCGGCGGACGAGGTGGAAGGGGCGGTAGGGGACGCGGGCGCGGGCGTGGGAGATTTCATTGAGCGCTTGAGGAGTTCACAGCAGGGCCCTGGCTATTTACGAAACGGCCAAACGACACAGGAAAACCCATTGCAAGGAATTCACAAGCAAATGCGTAGCCAACCAAAGCGGGAGAAAAGTCAAGCTCGCGAGAGTTATAGTCTATTTGCTATTCCAACTGATACAGCGTTCAAAGCTGTCTACGAATCAAGATATGTAACCCCTCAGAAAAAAACCCAAACCCAACGGAGAGCTTGTGCTGGGCAGAGTATGGGGGCTGAATTCATCTTCCAAATCTAATAGACGTTCGATCCACGGAGTAATGAAGAATCGAACGCATATGCTGAGATGGGTCCATGTCACGGGGAAACGTGTGTGGGAGTAGCCGGAATGGCAAGGTGCGAACGACCAAAAGGAAAACGAAGAGTGCGTGTTGGCCGCGTGCGAAGTCGTCAAATCGTACATTGGTATCGTGTGTGACCGCCCACTGGAGCAGCCGTGCCAAGCAGCAGCGCTGTGGGTTTGCCAATCCTAAACTCCAACTCCAGGTGCAAAAGCAGGACCCATGAAGGGCGAAATCAAATGCCAGAGTTTTGTTCTGCTGCTCGTCAGATGGGACAGTCCCGGGATAGGGTGTCTGAAAGAACATACTGTCCAAGCCAAGGTAGTCAGCTGCGACTAGCAGCTCAAGACAGAGCTCGACGGGTATGTCCATGTCAGGCACGTCCTCCCGTTCGCGATACCTGTACCAGTACTGAAAGTACTCGCAGACCTTTTCCAGCACGATGCCACTGGTCGTGTCAGTCGATGACCTCCCGAGGAGAAAGGCACCGCGAGAGGGCAATGGTGGGCAATGTTGCGTCTCAGATCAAGTGTACGTGGAAAGATTTTTCATGCAGACCGCTCGAGAACGTTGTCGATGGTCTTTCGGAAAGCACTCGGAAAAGCGTTTCATCAAGGTGACGCGCGAGGTGACAAGTGAAGGACAGAAATCAGAAGAAACTTACCTGATCTCCATGAAGACACATCTCCCCGAGACGGCTTCCATGAACTGGCTGCGAGGATCCAGCATACCCTTGATGACCGGGCTGATCATGACCGCCTCGCGGAGCAGAACAAACTCGTACCCATCGCCAGAGACGAGAGTCACGTACTTGTTCTCGGGGCCGTGTGTGCTCTGAGACAAGTACGAGGCCATCGTGGTGAAAGCGCGTGCGTGCTTTCCCTTGTGTGCGGCCAGGTGCGCGGTCCTGATGGAGATGTGTCGTCTCGAAGCCGCGAAGGAAGCCGCTCCTGACGATTGACACTGTCTGTGTCTGGGGGAAGTCTTCCAGCAGCAGCTTGGAGAACCGAGTGAGGTGGGTGTGATGGAGGAGTCGCAAAATGCCGGCAGTCCACGATGGCGACTTTTTTCTTTTGAAGGCGGAGGTGGATGGACCTAGCGCACAGACCGTGGGAGCTATGGGCAGGGTCACGTGCCTTTCCTCTCTGCCTGAGATAGATTGATAACGCAGGTCCTTCGCGTCACCGTGGCGTCGTAGCGTGGCTGGTTGCCCGGTCGACATGTTTACCACATGCAAGCAAGGCAAGTCGTCAACCTCCGCACCTGCCCCTGCCTTGCCAAACTCCCTTCAAGTACCTTACACTGCACCGCACCTGCTCTGGAGGTCTCGTTCAGCTTTCCTCATTTCGCATACCTGACAAACACCCACTTCGCCCGCGCTGCCTCGTTTGCTTCGCCTTTGCGAGAAACAAGAGTCATCCTCACATTCCAGCCAGATCACACCCCCCTCTCTCCCAGTAGCTATTCAGGGTCGCCCGTTCGCCAGTAGTGCTATCCATCACGTTCGAGTCGTCAACATTCCAACAAGCCTCTCTTTACCCACGTCAAGCCACCGCAATCCTCCACCAAGAGAGACGCAGCCCTGCACTTTGCGCCACCGCTTCCCCGAGACAGCCAGGCCCCCCCCTCAAAGTGAAGCAATCCGCTTCAAGGAGGCTAATTGAACCGGGAGACGCAGCTTGCGCTTGACCCAAGTCGCGCGGTCATGGCGTCTACGCAGTATCGCAACTCGTACTACAACAACAACAGCAACAACAACTACCTGTCCACCGAGAACTACGAGGACAGCCATAACAACTCGTCGGGCGCTCGCCGCAACCAACGTATCAGGAGCAGTGACGGCACCGTCAGCACCACCATGAGCTCCTCCACCGGCCGCGAGTCGGCCGCTACTCACCTCACCGAGGGCCCCGCCTACTCCAAGAAGATTGTCGTCGTCGGCGACGGTGGCTGCGGCAAAACATGCCTGCTCATCAGCTACAGCCAAGGTTACTTCCCGGAGGTACGTCACCCGTCTCGTCATCCACGTCCAATTGCGACCGCATGACTGACTGAGTATTGTTGCAGAAATATGTTCCAACAGTGTTCGAGAACTACATCACCTACCCCACGCACCCACCGACCGGCAAGACGGTCGAGCTCGCTCTGTGGGACACAGCCGGCCAAGAGGAGTACGACCGCCTGCGACCCCTCTCTTACCCCGAGACCGATCTCATCTTTGTCTGTTTCGCCATTGACTGCCCCAACTCGCTTGAGAACGTCATGGACAAGGTACGCCCTACTCGAGACTCTTCGCCACCCGTATGGATATGACCAAGACGCTAATGCAACGCAGTGGTACCCTGAAGTCCTACACTTCTGCCCCTACACACCCCTCGTGCTGGTTGCTCTCAAGTCCGACCTCCGCTTCAAGAGGACGTGTATCGATATGCTCAAGACCCAGGGCCTCACTCCCGTCACGACCGAACAGGGTCAGACCGTCGCCAAGAAGATGAATGCTCAATATGCCGAGTGCAGCAGTAAAGAGATGACGGGCGTTGACGAGATTTTTGAGAGGGCCATTCTCACCGTTGTCGCAAACGACCGGAAAAACATCGAGGCCCAGATGGCCACCGGTGCGTCGTCGTCATCAAATGGCGGCCGCGCCAGTGCGGGGGGCGGAAGCGGTAACATCCCTGGCGTGGGTGTGCCGAAGAAGAAGAAGAGGAGCTGCAAGCTGCTGTAAGATGAGAAACGTGGAAGGCTCGGGCAAGGGGATATCAGGATATGGGACTCTTTTTTTCATCTTGTTTCTGTGTCACGCGAACAAACAACCGCCAAACTTTGGGGCCAGGCCAGGGGCCAGGGGCTCAAGGAGTAATGAATGACTTTTTTTCATGACATGCTACGACTCACGAGCTTGAGTGACTTCTGCATTCGGATGCGCTGTTTTATCTGCGTGCATGGCTGTCCTGGAGTGATCCGGGGGGGGCATACTACTGCTCCGTGACTCTACGTCCTGCCATTTTGTGATCGATGCTCATCTGTCTACCATGGATGTGGAGTGTTGGATCGGTCATGCATGACTATTCGACCCAAGATGACAACTTCCCGCAGTACTACTACTGCGGAAAAGGAAGAATGAGCGGAGCACATGTCAGCAATATCCCATGTCATCTACTTATGCACACCGGCGGGTATGATAGAATTCGACCTTCATCAGCAATCCTGTTATCAAAGGTTTCGTCGCAGATTCCTCCGTCGCATATGTGTGCGCAACATGAGGACAGAGGGCGCTTCTCAAGGTCTGGAGTCATGAGTCCATGTCAGGGTGGGGAATGCATTGAGCAAGGTATCTTTACCACGTGCAAGTCACCGGCCCTCAGAGTAGCATCCAGGTGTACCGCATGCCACACCAGCCCTCTCTCTACTTGAACCTTGGGACCGCCGCAGCACCCCGCATTTCATGTGCTGTCCTCGATGTGACTTGTAGTCCCGGGCGAGCCTCTCGATACTGCCTTTCTGCAGCAAGTAAAGAGATGGCGCCGACCAGGATGCCGACTTGGCAAATTTCTTGATGATGCCCCCGTGAGCTTGACGGCACACCGTCTCCAATGGCCAGGATGGCGACTAAGAGTCTGATGCCGCAACATGCATTTTGCCCAGGCTCAACAGGAAGCTTGACAAGTCGTCTCAGACATGCCGTTCACGTCGTGAAGTAACAAAGCCGCCCAACCGGACGTGCATCATTGCACGCATCATATAGTTCAGCTTCCTCTACCTGGCAACGCAACGCTCGAGAAGCACATCTCGATGCAACGCTGTGCCTTCGTTGACCTGCACAGGCTTCATAAACAACATACTGAAGCGGTGAGGCTAGGCTCGATCCACTCAACCAGAACATATGTCTCGAGAACGGGATGACAAGCTGCTGATAGGGAATGCCGTCAAACCGTCAAGGGGGCAATTCGAGCCGTTGGGCTAGTGTTGTATAACCAGCGCCAGCAATAAATCCTGGTCTCGGCAGGCGAGGGCGCTGCGCAGGCGGCCATGTCTGCACGCCAACGCCATTTATTGGTCGTCCTCGCCGTTCGTCTCGTCGTCTCGTCGGCTGGGGCTCTCGTTGGCGGGTTTGCTGCCGCTCTTGCTGCCGTTGTCTTCAGCCGGCTCCTTGGCCATGACGTTTTCGAACTGCGACCAGAGGGCTTCGACGGAGGAGAACTCGTTGCCAACCTGGGGTGGCGTAAGGTCAGAATCACCCATCGAGCGGATTGGTCTTCGGGCTACTTGGCTACATACCGCAGTGACAGCCTCGAGAGAGCGGTTCAGCTTGTTGATGTTGGCGAGGACATGCTCGAAGCTCTGGTTTGGGAACGTCGGGTCAGATGGGAGGAGCGTGGGGGAAGGGCCTGCGCGGCTGAACGTACCATGGCAATCTCCCCAATGAGAACCTCGCGCTGCTGCTCAAAGTACGTCTTTTCAGGGCCGCCTGTCTGCGAAGTGGACCGCTGATGGTAGGAAGACATGTCGTGGCGATGCAAAAGTGTTGATTTGAAGTCGGCGCTTGGTTCCTTAGCCGACAAACTTACCTAGAGTGTGTTCGCGTCAGTAACGCGAACCTCTGTGAAAAGGCTCCGCCGCTAGCGAGACGGAGAGCGGGGTTTGGCGGGGCACGCGAACACAGTATCTACACCACCTATTTCGATGTCATTCGGCACCGTGTTGCGCTTCGGTGGGTAAAGAGAAAACCTTCCGCGCTCTACCCCTCTGTGCCCCCCACCTCGGTGTATCACGTCGCGAGCTCACAATCATCACTTCACAAGCAACGAGCCTCGGTGTCATGTTCATTTACTGGTGTCATTTTTCGACAACTAGTCCTCGTCAACTCGAATGTACATGTCTGGCGTTAGCCAATCCCAAAGCCCCCAAATCATTTTCATATCCCTCATTAACTTGACCGTGATCCGGCGAAAATAAAAGCCTAAAGAAAAAAAAAACAGATTTGCTTAGTAGATCGCACCGCCCAGACGAATCGCCACAGACTTGTTCTGCGTGTAGTTGGACAGGGCGGCCTCGCCGAGCTCGCGGCCAATACCGGACTCCTTGAAGCCACCGAAGGGAACCTGGTGGTGGAGCATGTTGTAGCAGTTGACCCAGACAGTGCCGGCCTTGAGCTGGTTGCTGACGCGGATGGCCGTGTTGAGATCCTTGGTGTGGACGGCAGCGGCCAGGCCGTAGGTGCTGTCGTTGCCGAGGGCGATGACTTCATCCTCGTCCTTGAACTTGGCGATGGCGCACACGGGGCCGAAAATCTCCTCCTGCATGATCTTCATGTCGGCCTTGACGTTGCTGAAGATGGTGGGCTGGATGAAGTAGCCCTTGTCACCGTGACGCTCACCACCGGTCTCGACGGTGGCACCCTCCTCCTTGCCAATCTTGATGTACTCCATGATGCGGTCGAACTGAAGCTGGCTGACCTGGGGGCCCTGGAAGGTCTCATCGTGGAAGGGGTCGCCGACCTTGTTCTCCTGGGCCCTCTTCTTGAAAGCCTCGAGGAACTTGTCGTAGATGCCCTCCTGGACGTAGATGCGAGTACCGGCGCAGCAGCACTGGCCGTGGTTGTAGTAGATGCCGAAGTTGACCCAAGAGATGGCCTGCTCAATGTCGGCGTCGTTGAAGACAATGTTGGGCGACTTGCCGCCGAGCTCGAGGGTGACCTTCTTCAGGTTGGAGGCGGCAGCCGCCTTCATGATCTGGCGACCGACAAGAGTGGAACCAGTGAAGGCGACCTTGTCAATGTCCATGTGAGAGGAGATGGCGGCACCAGCGACCTTGCCGAAACCGTTGATCAGGTTGAAGACACCGGGGGGGAAGCCAGCCTCCTTGACGAGGTTGGCAAACACGAGACCGGACAGAGGGGTCTGCTCGGCAGTCTTCATGACGACCGTGTTACCGGTGGCCAGGGCGGGGGCGATCTTCCAGGCCAGCATGAGGATGGGGAAGTTCCAGGGGATGATCTGACCGCAGACACCAATCTGATGGACAGAGGGTCAGCCAAACACGTCCCAAGCTCCCGGGAAGAGGAGGAAGAAAGAAAGGGGTGAACATACGGGCTCCTGGCGGGTGTAGTGGAACATGTCGGGGGCGACATCGATGGTCTTGCCCTCGATCTTGTCGGCCCATCCACCGTAGTACCTAATGCAGCCGACGACGGCACCGACATCGCCCTTGGCCATGGTGATGGACTTGCCGTTGTCGAGAGACTCAACGGCGGCGAGGAGGTCAATGTTCTTCTCAACGAGCTCGGCAAGCTTCAGGAGGTAGATGGACCTCTGGCCGGGGGTGGTCTGGCGCCAGACACCGTTGAAGGCCTTGCGGGCAGCGGCAACGGCAATGTCGACATCCTTCTCCGTGGCCTCAGAAACGGAGACGATGACCTCCTCGGTGGAAGGGTTCACGACCTCGAAGGTCTTCTTGTCGACGCCCTCAACCCACTCGTTGTTGATGAACCTGTGACAATCCAGTTAGTGTGCGCGTCGCGACAGAGTAATCGGACGTCGTGAGGAGCAGTGCATCAAGTGCGAGAGCGCGGGGACTTACAGGCCGGTGGGCTGGGTGTAGGTGCCGGTAACGGGCGTCTTGAGCTCGGCGGAAAGACCCATTATGAAGATGTGTGTGGTGAAAGGGAGGGGTAGGGTGGTTTGGTATAGGTTGGGGAAGGAGTCTCTGCAACAGGAACGGGGTATATTGGTGCAGAATGCAAAACTGGTGAGAAGAAACTGGAAATGAAGGGTTCAGTGAGGGGAGGTTTGCGAAGGAAAGGTAGGGGCGGAGGCGAGTTGTTATACTAAACAGTCCAGAGCGGGGTGGAGTCTGGATCAAAGCTGTGACGAAGGAAGTTGCCTCGAGGTCCACGCCTCGCCCACATTTACCAGGCAAGGGGGTGACCTACCTGCCAATGCCAGGTGAGGCCGCAGACGATTCGGGATTGATGCGACAGCACCCCGAGCACCATCCATCAGCGACCTAGTCCACCCGATTCCCAGCCGTGCTGCGGCGGGCCATTCCTGTCCTCGAATTCCCGTCGTGCCTGTGCACCCACCCCTGCTGCATCGACTTCCTCCTACCCGTGAGCTGTGAAGAGAAGCTCGGATCGGCGCTTTGCACGTACATGGACTTCTAACCCTGTCAAGGGTGGTGGGCATGGCATTGGGCGATACAGCCAAGGTAGTAACGAAGTGCCGAAGGCGCGCAGAGGCCGGTTCAAACCGATGCCGTTCGTCCTGCACACACACCCTCCTCCAGAGCAGCATAGTACCTAAGCGCCGGGTACCCAAGGTGCTTGACATCGACAACCAGTACAGCACCGCGCCGCTAGCCCGCCAGTGTGTCGCCCCAGTGACTGAAATTGGGAGCGGGATGGAGACCTGACCCCATCGCAAAATGCGAGGTAGGCGCATCCAAACGACGGGTATTGTGGTCGGAATGAGGTCAATGGCGGGGTAAGATGCGTCCCCCCGCTGCATGAGACCGGCGAATAGCATCCGGTAATTTAAGTACAGATGTGGGGGGGAGAGAAGTGTGGTTAACGCTAGAAGCATAGTCCGCCCTGGTGCCCACGACGCCCCTCCTTCTTTTGGCGTTGGAGACATGCTTGCTAGCAAGTCGCCCCCCCCCCTACCCCCCTTCATCCCCCCACCCACTCCAACCCCTCCATTCCCTACGTTTCGACCACTGTCTTGCTTGTCTTTACGTAGTAACGACGATAGTTACAGCCAGAATGACCAGGCCTCTTGTACACTCCGCATCGCGTGTTCAGGCAGCGGAAGACCGGTGCTGATGAAGACGCACAGCATCTGACAAATTCTCTCCTCCCCCAATAGAAGCCTTTTGCATGTGTCTGTACCTTGGCAGCTCGTACGCTCCCCTTGTTTCCTCCTCCTCGTTTGAGCGTGTATTCTTATTTCCAACGCATTCCCACCCCGCTAATCTTCATTCACCATCGTACTTCGCAGGTCTCGTGGTCATCTTTCCCCCCCGACAGAGCTGGCCCTGTGTTCGGGGTCTCGGCCTGGTGTGCAGATGTAGCCTGCCTGGCGTCCGGGCATCCGGGGTAACAAGGTTGACTAATGAGCCAACGTTGGACCTGGATGGCAGCTCATGAAACCGCATTGCTCATCTTTGTCACTGCAGCACGGCGCCTCGGGCCATTGGGAGACTCTATCCACTGGGCCCCTCGCTCATGGTAAGTGCCATGCCACACCACTGTTGACACGTCAAATCCCTTATCGCCGCCGCCAAAGGCCGATGCTTAGGGGTTTAGCACCCTCACCTCCCCCCCAACAACACATCCACCCCAGCGCCACAGCCACTGGCTGGTCGGCCTTTGGTCACCCACTCGCTCCTCCTGTCCCGACGGTAATTTTTTTTTGGTTTGCCCCTCTGCTTCTCTCCCCCTCTTTACCCGTCTCGCGAGCTCACGCAACGCTTGCGACCGGATTCTACGGTTGCTGGCTTCTCGGCGCAAAGGGAAGCGAGGGGTTCAATGAGGTTCAAACACTGTCCCCCCTCTTCTCCACACCACACATCGCACCAGAGACAAGAGGAAAGACAAGAGATGAGACAGCAGCAGACAGCCCGAGCTTCGTGGCATTCTCATAAAACCCGATGCGGTTCCCTCCTGATGCACTGTCACTGATGGGGAATCGTCGTCCTCAAGCCTGGGCCGCTGCCCTCTTTCAGGTAGGGGTCTGGTGCTTTCGTCTGGTCTAGATCCACTCAAAGCTTCTCTTCATCAGCCCACGATGCAGCCTGCAGCCCTTCCGTGTCGCCGGTATCGAACCATCGCTGCCAGCCGCAAACCGCCCTCTTGGCCGGCCGTCCCGCCTCACGGCCTATCGGCCTGAAGGCTGTTTCACGCAATTTGACGCGGCGAAAGGGAGCACCTGCATCGTCTGTCGACTACTCTGTTCTGGTCCGGCCAGCGTCACGCTCGAACCCTCTTTCGTGTCTCTTTTGCTGTGGTCGCTACGCTACGTGCGAGGCGTTCCAATTGGTTCATCGCATGGCATGTCGAATGGGCCCTCCGACAGGACACCAGGAAGAACAACCAACGGGTTCGTACATGTAGATCCGCACCGCTGCGTGGTTGCCGGTCGGATGGCGGCGGATCCGGGGTTACGCTGTGCTCGAGGACTGGGAGCCAACAGCCGTTCATAGAGCCTCGGGACTTTGACGAGGTAGGATGTCATGGTGGCTTTGGTGGTGCAACCCCGCATAGCATGCTCTACTTTTTACCACGTTCGGCATGGCTCGATCTGAGGTCAGACGTCTTCTTGCAGATGTGACCCAATCTGATGAAGGCCTCATGAAGCTCTCCCAACCAATTGGGATGCGAGATAGATGTCCGTTGGACTCGATCAGCTCCTCGTGATGTTTGTCTCAAGGCCGCCAACTGCCGAGCTTGTGTGCACACAGTGCTCCGTACTCTGACTCGATAGAGTGACAGCTCGGCTGGCCCGAGTGACTGTGTGCTCGGTCGTCTTGCGAGTGTATTTCCTGCAGCATCTCGGTGCGCAGCGGTTTTGCGATGATGGTTTTTTCAGTCTCTGTTTTGTGGAAACACCACCCGGCTTGCGTTGCGCAGACTCGTTTCCATCAGTGGTGTTGACTTGCTCTCTCTATCCTACCCACGTTGTCAATTTGACCCAACTGGAGGAAGTGCCAATCCAACATAAGATAGACCATGATGCTCGTTGCTCGACTACTGCAATTTCGCGCCTGTCATGCCACAACGATCTCACGGCGTCTCTCCACATCATACCCAACAGGTTCAAGAGAGGCTGGCATCATGACCGACTCTCTCTCATTGGCTAGTCGCATCTTACGGGGCTGGGACTGGCGGGGCTCCATTTTTTTATCGGATCGGACTTTCCTCCCCGAAAAGTTTTTCCGCTTGACCTTGAAGAAAGGAATCTGTAAATCGGCAAAAAGTTGCGACAACAGCCACCGCGACTCGAAAAGACGATCTATGTTCCAGAAGAGGACTTCTGCTTGCCTTCGCCCTTGAATGATAGGCCCTGAAGGCATGGAGGAGCCCTCTCAGGGCGTCGGCGCCCCTGCGCAACCGCCGCCAGGTACGATTCCCACTTCGCACCCGCCAAGAAATCCTCGCGGCTGTGTGGAAAATAGTTGGGAGGGGGAGTTGGTGCGTTCGCCGCTGACCACGTTTGCAGCGCCCGAACTGAAGCAAGAGTCTCCTGCGTTGCCGAAGGACTTCGAACTGTCGCCCCAAGCTACAAAACGACCCCTCGAACCGGCGCCCGAGCAGGAAGATGGGGATCCCAAACGGCTCAAGCTGGGCGAGGACCCAATGTCTGATGCGATTGAGATGGAACTCGACCTCGAGGCCATGGTTCAGGACGTGCTCGGCGACATAGACAACCAGATGAGCAGGTTCGGCGGCATGGACGGCACTTCCGGGGGCGACATGAACCTCGACATGGGACCTGTGGACCCCCCACCACGAGATACGACAGAGCCAACGATTACCTTCCTCGACAGCCCGATCCAGGCAGTTCGAGCTGCCAGTCTGCCTGCATTGTCGCACTTTGTACGTTCAATTGCACTGGCGAAAGGCCATTGCTGTTGCTGACTAGGTTTTCCCAGGCCCTTCAAATCCTCATCATCGTATCCCAGCAACACTCCCCGCACAGCCTGTCCAGCGCGATACGGACGCACGATTCGGAAGCGGCTACCTCATGGGTCGCACTGAAGAACCTCTTCACAAGTACGCGGCAGCTCTTTTCGCAAACCGATCCAGTTTTACACTCAGACTTTCTCGGATCAATATGCTCCACCGACGAGCTGCGGCTTGCGAACCTCGCCAGCATCTGCTGTTCGCTGACGTCTACCGGCCGCGATGCTGATACAATAGATCGGCGCGAGCTCTACAAGAGCTTCTTCTCCATTCTGCTCCGCGACGGTAGCGAATTGTCAAATGTCGTTTCTGATCTCTTCGTTGCGGCCAAGACGCAAGCTATCATTGATTCCGTGGCCAAGGGTGTTCAGGAGACGCCAATAGACCAGATTATCGAAGAGGCCTTCCCATCGAGCCTGGAGCAGAACCTGAAAAGTCGACACGGAGGGTCCGACCTCACGCAAGTAGAGCAGGCCCTGGTGACGCTGGCGTACGGTCGAAAGGAAGCGCTGTTCAAGCAGATCGCGGAGGGCCTGGACGAAGGTTTGTCACGTTGACATCATCGCGCAACATGCGTACTGACGGATTGACAGGCAATCTGAGATCGACGTATGAGAACGAGGAGCTGTTTCGACTTCTTGGCTCATACCTCTCCGATGAGCTTCAGCACTTTGCGCACATTGCTACCAAATACAGCGTTCAGCTGCCGATGAGGGAACCCATCCACCTCGACATCCCCGACGACGTGTCCGAGATGGACGAACAGGCTCTCTCCTCTCTTCTCGAAGCGACAGACGGCCTGGTAGCGCAGTACTTGCCGAACGGCGGCATCGAAGTGGCCAACGAGCCTGCAGTTCCAACCACCGAGGGTAGCATTCCGCCGGCAGAACCGCAGACGAATGGGGGCGAAACCACGACTGTGACGGCACCGCCAGCTCAGAACGGCACGACAGACCACTCCCATGAGACGCACGACCTATTTGCGGAAATCGAGCATCAGACCCAGGAATACGTGCGCACAACACTGAGCAACCTGTCGCCTGCGCCGTATCAACCGACTGTGCCTGCGCCGACGGGATCGACGATGGTCCAAACACCGTACCTGTCACACTTGCATCAAACGCAAAATCACCCGCCACCACCCACACACTACTACGGCTACCCACCGCTGGACCCAAATCAGAACCTGGAGACAGAAGAGTCCGGGCCCTTGCCCCCGAGCCAGTCTCTACCCAGCGCTATGCTCTACGACCGTGCACGTCAGGCCGCGCTATCAAAGAACACGAATCCCCAACGACGCGAAGGTGGCAGCTCCACTCGAAGGCCATGGTCTCAGGAGGAAGAAAAGGCGCTCATGACGGGATTGGACAAGGTCCAGGGTCCTCATTGGAGCCAGATCTTGTCGTTGTACGGAGCTGGTGGTTCCATCTCCAACATTCTCAAGGATCGCAGCCAGGTACAGCTGAAGGACAAGGCGCGCAACCTGAAGCTGTTCTTCCTGAAGTCGAATTCCGAAATGCCATACTACCTCCAAGCGGTCACGGGTGAGCTGAAGACTCGTGCACCGGGACAAGCGGCCCGGAAGGAGGCCGAGGAGAAGGCACGACAGACGTCCGAGGAGGCTCAAGTCCGTGGGCAAGGCAACATACCCATCGCCAGCAACATCCAGTCATCACCGCACAGCCACCAAAAGACAAATTCGGTGACCCATCACGGCTTCCACTCGCTCAACCACGCGGTACAGGCGCCCGCCAGCCCATATACCCCCGTCGCTCCGCTGGCGGCAAGCGCCCAGACGCATGCTTCGTCGCCGATCACGAACGCGTTACCAGCGCCCGCGATGCAGAGTCCTGTGAAGCCGGAGACCCAAACGTCCTACACCCCTCCAGTGACCATGTCGACACCGCAGCCGACGCACCCTCAACTGCCATCGCAGCCCTATACACCAACATTACCGCAAGCTCCATCTCAGAACTCGGCGCCATACACACCGACGCATTCCTACACACCACCGCAACCGGCTCCCACGGACTCGCCACACGTCAAATCCGAGCCGCTGCCACAATATGACTACATGGCGCAACAGCAGCAGCAGCAGCCGCAACAGCAACAGCAACAGCAACCGCAACAGCAGCAGCAGCAGCAGCCACAGCAGCCGCAGCAGCCGCAGTATCACCAGCAGCCTTCGCAAGAACCGCAAATGCCGGTCACTGCGGTCGACCAGATGCCGGCGGCGGCCATGTACTCAGGGCTCGACGATAATGACGACCTCAAGGATGCAGCACTCATGCAGAGTCTCCGCGAGCTGGAGGCTTACAGCGGCACGAGCGTCTCCTAGAACGAGGCGTACGCGGGTCCTGTACCGAGCACGGCTTACCAAGACCCGTCGTCATCACCGACTCCTGATTCGATATAGGCGTGCGGCTCTCATGACTCTGCACGCAAAGCTCGCCATTCAACCGCCATGGCTGTGATGCCGTCCGCTCGACTCATGGGAAGCCAAAGGAATGGAGAACAGCAGCGCAGCGTCACGACATGACCATGTCCATCCTGCCTTCTGAGGCAGCGACAGTTCACATGGTCCTTTGGTTACAGGGAGTATGTATAACGAGGCCCCACCAGAGAGGGCGAGTCGGGAAGAACGAAAGAAGAAAAAGCGATTGATTTGTTTGCCATGATACCACGATGAGGAGTGGAGGGAAAGAGGAAACAGGGAGGGAGGGCAACGGACGCCCCAGGGCCAGCCAGGGTAGGCAAGTCCGGGCAAAGGCGCACATTCGGTCGGCCAGCATGTCGTCGGCGTTACTTTTTCTCCAACATTCGTAGAGCAAAATGCACACGCTGCGGCGAAACTTGACACCAAGCAAACATGAACCTTTTGCAACGTTGTACTCGGGTTTGGCTCCTCGGTTGGTTCCAGCCAAGAAGAAGATGGTGTTGAGAATGACAGTGTACCGCCTTGCAGTGTTCGTCACTGGTGGGCGGGTGCAGTTTTGTTGAGCCATAGTTATGCTTCTCGGCCACTCTTGTGTGACTCGGGCATGTCTGACCGCCAGGTTTGACAGGTCTGCTGCGACGGGTGGGCTTCGGTTTGCCTTGGTCTTCACCTGCACGTCAAGTAACACGCAATGTGCCTCATCAGGCCATGTACATCGTCGGGATGTGTTTCGGTCATGTTTGCTTATGAGCTCACAAAGCGCATGCCTTGGCTGTGTGCGCCTCCGCGGGATGAACACCATAGCCTTCGCTCGTCGAGTATGACAGGTACTGTTTACCACTGTAGATTGTCGTTCGATGCTCGGACGAAGCATGGCGCGGCCAAGTAGACCCTTGAAACGGCGTGTCACCCACGCCCTGGTGTTCTCCCACACACTGCCGTCTCCCCTTTCCATGAATTGATACGACTTCGAATGCTAGCTGGCACCTACAACTTCGACGCGAAAGACGAGATCAGACTTTTATCTCTGCACTACAGCTACTAACCCCACGACTTGTCCTTCTTTCTTTGTTTCAACCATGTTCGGCGCCAAACGAAAGAAGCTGAAGCCCGAAGAGGACCGCCGACGCTGCAACTACGTCACGATTCAAGGCCGCTGCAGCCAGGGCAAGGTGACGCTGAGCAAAGACGGTGTCAGGTTCCCGAGCCCGTACTGTCGTTACCACTGCTGCAAGAAGGTCGACGGGGCAGCCTGTCAAGACATGAGGATTAATGCAAAGGGGTTCTGCCAGCGACGTAGGCCTAGCTCTCTTCCTCATCATCCGTCCATGCTAAACATGGCACGATCTAGACATTCAGTGCCAAGGCCAGGTCAACGGCACGCGGTGTGCCAACGCCGTCAGGGGCTATGATCCCAAGGAGTTCAAGTTCTGCGCACAATACCGTACGTCCCATGCCGCACACCACCACGTTGGCTCGTCCCCTCACTCAGCATGACAGACAACTGCTTGGCGCTCGACTGCAAGAATGAACGCTTCTACAGCGGTGAGTCAGACCTCAAGTTCTGCGCCGACCACCGCTGCACCAGCCCAGGCTGTGACAGGCCGAAGCACACCGGGCCGTTCTGCGCCTCCCACACATGCGAGGCGCCCAACTGCCTCGCCTTCGCCGTCGGCGGCGGCGGGCCAGGCGAGCCGACGCGCTACTGCGACCGACACCGAGTCTGCCAGCACGACCAGTGCGAACGCTTTACGCACGCGCGAGAGAACGGAGGGCTGTCCAACTTTTGCGGCGCGCACTACTGCGCGTGGGACGGCTGCGAGCAGGCGCGGGAGGGTGCCGGGGAATGCGAGCACTGCAAGGCGCACAGTTGCATCGAGATAGCGTGCGTCAAGGGGAGAACGAGCGCCGAGGGATTTTTCTGCAAGAATCACGAGTGTGATACGAAGGAGTGTCGGTTCAAGAGGTGGAGGGGCGAGTACTGTCCTGAGCATCAGTGCGGGAAGCCTGGGTGTGCCGAGGAGGGGACCACAGACCATTACTGCTCGAAACATGGCACATGCAGCATGGTAGGATGCGATCGGTTCCGCTTTGCGGACGGATCGAACGTCAGGGATTGGTGTGAAGAGCGTGAGTTTTGCCCTTCCAACTCCCCCTGCCTCTCCCTACCCCTCTCCAGCACCCAGGTGATCAGCCTCCCAGGCAGCAAGGCATGCTGATCCATTGTCGGACGCAGACTTCTTCCCGAAATGCCGAATACAGGACTGCGAGGCTAGGGCGGTTGACGACAAAGAGTTTTGCCGGAACCATATCTGCGAGTTCCGAGGGTGCGGCGGGCAGCGCTCACATTGCGGGACGCTCTGCGACGTGCACAAGTGCGGTGTCGTCACATGCCCGCATCCTCGCTGCAACATGTCGTTGCCGCCGGTCATGATCATGATGGGTAATCAATGGCCTTTATCGCCGTACTGCAACGGTCACGCATGTCACCACGACAGCTGCACACAGCAGTCGGCGGACAGGAGTCGTTTCTGTTCGGCGCACACACCATGCCGCCATCCAGGATGCTCCAACATGGTGCAGTCGACAGGCACCGACCCTACATGCTGCTCAGATCACAACCAACGAGACTCTGTGGGCCGACGAAGGTACGCTGAGTATCCGGGGGTTGGTGGGGGGTGGCCGGGCGGATGGGGCGTCAATGCTGTTCTTTGAGGTTCGATGACGGATGACTGAGCACGAGTCGGCAAGATGACAAGCAGAGCGTGGGGGAAGCCCTCAAACTGTAGAAACATGTAGAACTTGGCACAATTAGCAGCGATCCAAGTATTGACGTGGCCCGTGATATGGCCGCTGTGGTCCGCAACTCAGGACCGTAGAGGGCATCTGGGCCCAGAACGTTCGGCCCGTCGCCTACTACCGTGATGCTGCTGCGGGGAAGACACCAGGCAGCAGCAGGCGACTGGCGATTTGATCAGACAAAGGGCAGGCAAAGCGGCCAGGACGGTCGGCCTAGGCTCGAGGCAGTACACACACCAGCCTGCTCCCCACGTGGTAGTCCCGTCGCTGGGCCAAGCCGACTGGCTTTAGCACCACATTGGGGTCGTTGGGCTCTCAGACTGAGATTGAATCTCGCAGTGAAGCGGTATATCGTCGGAGGAGGCCGTTTGAAGAAATATACAAAGGCCTCATCGGGCTCATTGCAACTTTGGGCCAAGCTGATGAGGCACTGCCCACAGCTGACCGTTGATCCAACTCCCCCTACCATTCATACCGGCGAGTTTGATCGACTCGCAATTCAGACACGAGAGGTAGCCAAAAGCCATCTTCTCTCAACGATCTCAAAGAGATGGCAGGCCGGCGCAAGTGCTGATGGGTTGAGACAGGATTGCGATCCTTCGTCTGAAGCTGGATGCGTACCTTCCTCCCCTGCCTGTAGGCACAGGAGATCCTGTTGTGGCAAGAAGTGGCAAATTGGTCAAAGACGCTGAAGCACATCATGGGGCCTTGTGGTCGAGATATTTTCGAGTCGAGAGGGGCTGGTCAGGCTTTGTGCGGCTGTGTAGTTGCATGATCGAGGGCTCTTTCTTTGTCGTTGATGTTGGGTTGATGCACGAGTTTGATGCATGAGAGAAGGCTGCGTCTTGTACATGTTAGGTACTGCACCCAAGTACCTCTATGGCGAAGAGGATCATCCAATAGAGAGTGTGGCTCGGCCAGCCCATTTGAGGCGCAGGCCCCACAACGAAGCAAGGCGACGTCCCCGACTGGTACGGAGGCCGCCAGCAAGCGCAGCCGCCCGCCAGTCGCTCTTCGTCTCCACAGTTCCTGCGAGCCGGAGGGGCGGGGGTGAGGGTACCTGGATACTTAGGTACATTCATGTGGTAAGCAGAACAAAGGTCATTCCCAAAACGTCACCAGACCCACGCCTCTCAGTAACCAACCAGGTGAACACCCAACGACGACCTCTCGCCTCGCTCGCACTGAGGAAGCGAACTCTTCTCGCATTCCAACATCTGGCCCTATTCCCGCCTGCATGGCGAAGGCAAAAGCAGTCGCGTTCCGAAGAAGTGGTACAATGAGGGGGGGGGGCCACCGTTGAACGACCCCGAATTAGCCCTCCTCCCCCGGCTGCCGTTGGTTGCCTTGAGCCAAGCCTCACGACGTGCGCAACCTCGTTCGCTCCCTCCCCCCCCTCTTCAAGTCCTCAAGGCTGGATCGAAAAGCGAATGACCCCCCTTCTTTTCGAGACCCAAGACATGGCTACCAACTCGTGGCCTGGATCTCATGTTCTTCTATACACAATACCGCTCTATGACTACATCGCTGAATGACACTTGTGTCTCGATCAGCCCGGTCAGGGACCTCGTCGCCGTGGATCGCTGCAGGCCATCCCGTGTACCTGACAGAGGTCTTCCGTCACCCTTCCCTCCCGCTCGACACCCTCTCGCCGGACCATGCGCCCAGCCCGCGTGCCTGCTTTCGGCTCCTCTCTTCGCTGCTAAGTCTTGTCGACGGTACAGTGCGCCGTTGGGGCGTCTTTGACCATGGCTCTCGCTCCCTCCCTCTGCTTTTTTGTTGCGGGGGGGAGTGGGGTGGGTGTCCTGCAAACGGTCGAGTCTTGTCATGGCACAGGCAGCGAGCGCCCAAAAATGTTGTTGTCCTTGTTCGCTTCCTTTAAGACAAGACTGTCCCGCTGCCGCTCGAACCATGTCCGTCCATGCCGTGCCGTACCATGCTCCTTTGGCAGGTCACACTGACGCTCATTCGTTCTGCGACTCGACCCGACTTGAGGTCCCCTGCTTTGATCACCTGCAGTAGTTTGTATCGTCTTGTGGACTTGACGCCGTGTTGGGTACCCGTGAGACGTTATCAAGCTGCCATTCTCCTATTTTCCATTCCCCCATGTCCAACATCTTGTCCATCCCTGAACGTCATCTATCCGCTTTCTGCCTACCCGTCACTAGCACAAAGAAGAACCCGAATCAAAGCGTGTGCGAACCCGAAAAGCGAACCAAAGAAACTCTGTTGGACATCAACGAGCGAACGACAACGAGAACGAGAACGAGAACAAACATAGCCGTCGACACAACCGACACTCACCCACGACATCCACTGGCAACAGTCCTCGGGTGTCAACCGCCTTGAACCCGTCAAGGTTGGACGCCGAACAGAGCGTTCCGAACCCTGATTCTCTTCTCCGCGCTCCCTCTCTCATGTCTCGTCGCTACTACGTCGAGACTTCTCCCTCCGGCCGGCCGCAGTTCGTCACTCTCAAGCGCTCCCGCTCACACCACCACCACCATCACCACCGGCCCATCGAGCACGACGACTGCTTCGTCAGCAGGGAGGACTGGAAAGCTCTCGTCGAGCGGGAGCGCTGCCTGCGCGATGCCAACGACGTGCTGACCCGTGACAACTACACCCTCAAGTGCACTCTGCAGGCCACGGACGGCGAGCTGCGCCGCTACCAGGCCTGGGTGCCGCAGCTGCAGGATCGCATCCAGTGTCTCGCCGCCGACAATGCCGCGCTCAAGAGGTCGCTCGACAGCGCCGGCGGCCACTCGGAGAAGCACTATCGCGAGATTGAACGCCTCAAGCAGAGGCTTCTCAAGGCCGACAGAGAGATTGGGGGACTCAACGACCGCCTCAAGGATATGCTGCGGAGGGCCGGCCACGGCGTGCAGGATCGCATTGACGACCTGACTGGCATCATTCACGACTGGAAGCGCAAGTTTGAGGTCGTGGACGAGCACAATATTCGTTTGCGGCGCGATCTGGATAATCGAAACTCGGTTATTTCGGAGCAGTGCGAGCGCATCGATGCGTATGAGCGGATTATGAGACGGCATGGGCTTGTGCCACGGTGAGGGAGGACATAGGATATGGTGGTGGTTTAGTCTTGCATGTAGTGTTTTCCGACCATCTCCTTTCTGTCTGTTGATGATAAGGGGGTTTCTGGACGGGCGACCGGTCTTTTTTTTTCAATTCCTTTTGTTGTTCTCCCTGCCTGCAGCGGGATGGACGGTCGAGTTGCGGAGGATCATTCATTTGGCATCTCCTATGTCACGATTTACGAGGAATTTGGGCCATGTCATCAGTTACGGTCGACGTTTTCGCACGCATCTTGTTTTGAATGTAGCTACATAGATACCATTTTGTTTTTCTTCTGTCATGACTACGTGCCAGTCAGTATACAGGTGTGAGGTAGCGGACTGGGATCTAGAGAGAATGAGGCTCATTATCCATGAACCAGGTAGGCCCGTTCCTGCCATCTTCTACGGTAGCAGAATACACTGGCAGCAAGACGAGGAGCAACGTGAACGAGGTCTGATCAAGCCATGGCTCACACTGTATGATTGGCTGAGCCTCCACAGGGATGCGCACTCTGCTGTCAGCCCTGGTCTTCCAGCGCATAGAGACATTTCGATCCATGGGCCGAGTGGGCGAACAAAGTCGGCGCCGAGTCGGAGGTTGCGCCGGACTTGGCAACGTGCTCCTCCAGAGCAAGCAAACGCCAAGCCAGAGCTGACGAAATCTGCATCACTTAGACTCTGGGGATGCTTAACCTACGTGGGGGCCAAGAAAGGAAGAGGGAGAGTTCACGGAGCCAAGCACTCTCTCGCACCGACCATGTGCACGTGAAACGACGTTTGCTCAGCTGCTCAGGGGTCCCTATCCTACGTGTTCGGGGTCTGACGACAGCAAGATGCCCCAGCTTTGGGCCTGCATGAACTGCACAGCAGGATGGATTTCGATCCCGGCGGGCAGAAGAATCATGAGGGTGGTCAGACGGGAAACGCAACGAGGACTGAAGAAAACAGGATTAAAAAACAACATACTCGTGGCGAAGAGACAATGGTGTTTCAAGGCGCAAATGACAAGGGGAAAAGGGGGCGGCAGGGCACGTGCAAAGCGACGATGATCGATGGTGTAGTCCTCGGGGCTCAGCCTCTGTCAGCCGCGCGGCGGGGCGTGTTCAGCAGTTCGCAGCCTTGCATCCTTGGGCGCTTCTAGAACTCTGGCCAATTCATCTTCTTCTGTCTGCGTTGGATTCGCAAAAGGATGCGGCGAGAACGGATTGGGACAGGACATCGCCATGGGCATCAATTCAAACGGTCGACCAGGGGTGCGGAGAGGGGCAACAGGCGCATAGCCTCGTCAGCTGGCGGGTCTCAGCCCTACGGACGGTCGAATTTAGGCCTTGTGGGGAATGATTTGCAGTGAACGTGGATCATTTTAGCGGCGATACCCTACCTAGATTCCCAGGTCGGTAGAACTGCCCAGGTAGGAAAGGCACGGTGTATGCTTGCTGTGCAGTGAGCCGCAGCGGTGATCCTGGAGGGTGCCAATCGTGCGAGCCCGAGGGGATTGGCAGTGGGCGTGCTCGAGCGACGTTCGGGACGGCGATACTTCCACGTCACAAAGGCTGGGCGAAGGCGTGGTGCATGCTGCAAGGCACGATTCTTTGCAGGCGCTGGAGAAGGGGCACATGCTGCTTGCGATGACGCGGAGCCCTGAGCATCTCGTTCCTCAGCGACGGCAAAGTGCGTTGCCCAGAGACAGAATAAAGATCATCAAGGCCGTGCACCTGGGTACTCGGGCATGTACCTTACTAGGTAGGTACCGGGCGGAATGAAAGCTGGTTGAGGGCGACTGGCAAGGCATACTCGAGCGAGCGGCCTTGGCCTTGTCACTTTTCTTTGTCTTCCACTGCCAGTTTTTGTTCGCGTTTCAGCGTGCAGCAGGCCACCACTGAAAGCGAGGACTTACAGGGCTTTCTGTCTAGGTACCTAGATCTCCCTGTAGTCCACGCCAGCTGGTAGACGCCGTTGCGCTTGTCCTTAGGCCGCTGCCGGGCCGCCGGTGGGTGCCTGAAGTGACGGGCGGGAGCTTGCCCATTTGCGTTGTGGCCTGTCCCGCCGTCTACATGTAGTGTCGAGCATGTCACCACGAACCAGCCCTGTCAAAGTCTATTCACGGTCCACCGCCAGAAGCCCGCGCGAGAGGCCTGCCACGAACGAATGAAATCCCCGATGGCCCGTGGAGTGGACAAGGCGAGCCAAGATCAAAGGTGATGCATGCGCGCCATCAAGTGTCTGGCATGGATGCAGGCTTCTGGCGACGAACGACAGACGACGTACTGTACAGCCAGACGAGGAGACACCACGCGACATGGGCCAGACTCTTCATGCGCGACATGACCGTTCCCCAGCCCTCCTCGCGCAGAGTGACTCACGCAATCACGGGGGTGCGCAATCGCGCCTACGCAACCTCGCAACGCGCATCGCGCATCAAACGTCACGCATCACGCATCACGCATCGCGCAGCCAGAATCCCTCCAGGCTGCGAGTCCCTCCTTGGCGCTGTTGAGGCTGGTGACCGGTCCGTCTGGGACGCGTCGGGTCGTGGGGGCTGAAAAAGAACAAGACGTTGCGACGTGACACGTTTGGGGAGAAGAGCAAGATGGGTGTGGGTGAGAATGAGGCAAAGCAGACGTCTGCTCGATCCTTTGTGGCGCACCAATTTGCGAACCTCGCTGCGGAAGAGGAAGGAAGAGGCAACCAGCGGCACTTCCAACTATCTCCCTCACCTGCCCCTGCCAGTTGGTCCGGACCAGACAAGGCAATCACTACTCGTCGGCGAAATCAGGCTGCCAATGCTGCTGCCGGTTCCTCACTGCCTCCGTCGTAGAGTGCTATCAGTGGCTTCCCTTCTCCCCCCCCCTGGGGCCCACTTGCCCACCCTTCCCTTCCCCCCTTCCTCTCCAGCACAGCCTCGACTGCACCAATGAGAGGCACCAGGGGAGTGTCGGCATGGATGTGCTCGGCAAGCCAGATTCGGACGCGGTCAGCACTTGCTACATCCCATACAGGTGCCTTTTTCTACTTGGGCCTCTTTGTTTCCACGACTCCCACCCTCCAGTATACCCTCCTGCCTTGTGCCCCTACCCTCCTTGCATAGGTGGGCAAGTACGGGCTGGGATGCGCCGGCACTCCCCCCTACCCCCCATGAACTGCCCGCTTGCGCGATGCCTGCCTGTTTGATGACTCGATTTGGCTGCGCCAAGGCACATCCTTTGTTACCCTCCTCGAGCGAGGGTCCTGCCATGTCCTGGGTACCTCGCCTCGCATCCCGCATAGAGCCTCGTCCCGCCGGTGAATATGCAAGCCGCGGTACTTGCACCCCGTGGCTGCCTCCGTTGTAGCCTCCTTAGCCCGGAGGCAGCAACACACCCTTTCCGTCTGGCTGGAGCCATGGGCCATATCGACTCGTGAGCTCAGTGGCTCTGCGTCTTTCCATGGAATAAAAGAGAATCCAGCGCCCCTTCGTCCCGCCGTCTGCCTCTCCATTCCACTCCAGACATCCGTGCCGTTCAGTCTCATTCTCATATACGGGCCTCTCTCTCCTTGCCTCCTCTTGGTGGAAAACCTACGATTTGTCTTCTCCTATATTTCGCCCGACCTATTCCGGACCTGAACACCCCACCGGCACCATCTCGCTTCACAGCCTACCGAGATAGAACCATCCACTACAGCCTCGCCTACCAACAAAAAACTATCATTCGCTCCGTGGGCTTCTCTCGTCCAGCCTGCCTCGGTCCATTGGGCACAACTATATCTTCGCGAGCCCCAAGCCATCGAATCAACACCCAGCACCCCCCCTCCTGCGGGCACAGCAGTCCCAAGCAGCACAGCAGCCTCAAGCAGTACAGCAGCCTTCGGTAGCCATGTCTTCATCCGGCAAGAAGGACCGCTCTTCCTCTTCTTACAAGAAGACGCACAGCTCCAGCAGCCCCAAAAGTCACCACCGCAAAGCCAGCGACTCGGGCGTCGGTTCGTTGAGCGACCAAGATAGTCTTGCAGCCAATCCTGATGGAAACTTCACAGCCCAAGGCTACCAGCAGCAGTCACAAAGTCCCCGCGCTCTCCGCGAGGCCCTCGACGCCGCGAGGTTCGATCTCGACCTGTGGAAACAGAAATACAGAGAGCTCGAAGAGGACCTACGCGTTGCCCGCTCCGATCACCGTGATCTCGACGCCAGCTTCCGTGCCCTCAGCCTGAAGAACTCTCTGCTTGAGGCGGACCAAAAGACCCACGCCACCAGTATCCGCAAGCTGCAAGATGCGTTGCGTGACAAGACTGACGAGGCAGACCGACTGCGGGAGGATCTGCGAAGATTCCGCCACAGCCCACCGCAGGAACCCAACGTCTCGGCCCCGCTCGGACCTGGCCCCTCCTTCTCTTCCAGAGTGCTGTCGGACCACAAGCTGCCACGGACGGAAAGCAGCAGGAAGGAGAAGAATCGCGAGGAGAAGGAGCGACACGCCGAAGACAAGGAGCGTCTTCGAAGCCGCTTCGACAACAAGGAGGAAAAGGGCCCTTCGAGCTCCCACTCTGCAAACTCGGGTTACTCTGGACACTCAGGGCACTCGGGGCACTCGGGGCACTCGGGACACTCGGGACACTCAGGCCGCTCTCGTCGCACCAGCTACATCGAGCCATTCGGCCCCGGCCATCGATCCGTGGCCAACGAGCCGGCGCTGCAGAACCCGCGATCCGGCCGTGATTACGTCCCGTACGGGGCTTCTTCCGGCAGCCAGCCAATGGGCAGCACCAGTACCAGCACACCTCGCTCTGTTCAGGTTCCCTCTTATGCCGCCGGGTACAGCGACTCCGTCTTTTATGACGAGAGCGAGTTTGAGACGGGCGACTATTATGCCCACCCCCTGCCGGAGAAGAAGAACAAGTCGCGCAGGTGAGAATCGACGGAAGCATGACTGGAAACTTTCAGCAATGAGCGACACTGCATTGGGAAACACGCAGCCTGATGTCGACGGCTAGGACGTTGGTCCTGACCCACCTGAATGCATCGCCGCCACGGGAGCGGCCGCAGAACGCCTCAATTCACCCCTCCATCTAGACTTGAGCGATGCTTGATGGTATGCGAGGCGTGGCTGGACCCTTCTTTCTAGTGGTGAGCCCATTTTTGCATTCAAGGCACCATGGCTGAATGTCAGGATGTTCGGCCAGGTACAGCCGATCATGGTGTCTGACTCACTAGAGGGAGTCATCCGCCCGGCTGTCGACGGGATTGCCTTTTTGAGAATGCTCCATGCCGCACTTTCTCACATATTTGGCTACACTTTCCCCCCCCTCTGTGCGAGTGTGTCTCCTTTCTCCCAACCAAATCAGGCGACTACAATACCCAGAACCAGGCCGCCACAATCGCGGCTGAGCATCCGGGCTGTCTCTCTTTCTTTCAAACCGGTCCAATCGTAAACACCACGATGAAGCTCTACCCATCTATCCCCCCCAACCTCGCAACCTGGGCAGCCCGCCAGCCGTTCTTCCTTACGGCATCGGCTCCCACCCACGCCCCGCATGTCAACGTCTCCCCCAAGGGACTCGCCGCCTCGCATCTCGCCTTCCTCGATGCCAACACGGTCGCTTACATTGACCGTTCCGGCTCGGGATGCGAGACAATTGCGCATGCGTACGAAAATGGTCGATTGACGCTTATGTTTATGTCCTTTGGCACCTTGCCGCGCATTCTACGCCTCTTTTGTAACGCTGAGGTGATTGAGCGCGGCACACCGAGGTTTGAGGAATGGATGGCCCGCGTCGTGCAGGACCGCGAGGGTGGCGGGATGGAGGGTGCGAGAGCCGTCATTGTCGGTCGCGTCTGGGAGGTGCAGACGAGTTGCGGGTTCGGCGTGCCCGCCGTTAAGAAGGAGGTGTACGAACGCGGTGCAGAGGGCGACGAGGGCGACGAGGAGAGCGGCAAGGAACTGTCTATCTTCCAGGATAGGCGCACCTTGGATGACTACTGGCGCAAGAGGGCCGAGAACGGCACAGTCGAGGAGTACCAGGTTGAAAAGAACGTCACGAGCATTGACGGTCTGCCTGCTCTCAAGGCAGCGAGGCGTGAGGCCGGCGAGGTCTTGATCCTTGCTGAGGGAAGGGCCAAACTTGGGCGGGCCGCGAGGGAGCGTGATGGCATCCTTCTCGGCGTGCTGCTGTCCCTGCTTGTCTGGAGTTTCACTACGATTGTGTTTGGAAAATTGTAACCTGTTTTTTTCCCTTTACGTCTGTTTCGATAGGCTTGTTGCTATCTAGCTGTGTACCGGCCGAGGGAGTTTGGAGTCTATGTTAGATGATTTAAAAACAACGCTGATGTATCGTTGCCTTGACACCATTATCATGATTTCCTTCCGGCCGTGAGACCCGTGCATCGAGGTCCGGATAATCAACCGCCTAAAGTGCCAGAGACTCGGCTCACATGCGAGTGAATCTGACTCGACGTTGGTGTATCGACGCTGCTGCTGCTGCTTTGTGGCAGTGCCTGTTCGAAAGAGGGCCACCGGGATATCTCTGAGGTCAACATGGGTATAGCTGTTCAGTCACACCCACGGCGCGCTTCTGCATCGTAGTCGAAGTGCTGCTTCAACTGGCTCCCGCAGCCGCACCCTTGGAACCGCCGCCTCCGCCGCCTCCTCGCTGTCCGCCACCGCTTTCTCCTGTTGCAGCTGCTTTGTTCCCGCCGCCGCCGCCGCCGCCGCCGCGACCGCGTCTGTTCCTCCTACCTCCAGACCCCGTGTGCTCCGTCTTTTCTGCAGGGCCCGACGATGATGAAGCCGCGGGGGTGGCAGTCGTCGTCGACGCGGCTGGCGCTGCCGTTCCTGTTCCTGATGCGGCTGCTGAAGACGATGCTGCCGCTGCCGCTGCTGTGCCACCGCCACCGCCACCTCCACCAGCCGGCTTCTTCTCCTTTCGCTCGAGCACCTGCACAGTGCCCTGGGCCACGGTGACGGGACTGCCGGTGATGGCCCTGACGAGCGACGCGTGGTCGGCAAAGTCGACGTACGCGAAGCCCTTGCGGCGGTCGATCTCGACAAAGGTGACAACGCCAAACGTCTCGAGGGTCGCCTTGAGCAGGGCCTCGGTCACGCCCTGCGAGGGGTTGGCGTGCTTGACGAAGCCGCGGGTCGCGCCGGCCGTCACGCCTGCGCCTGACTTTTTAGACCCGGATCCCTTGCCTGAGCCCTTGGGACCTGTGGGTGTCGAGGCCGATTTGGGGCCCGCGGCGGCTGCTGCAGGTGTCGCTGTCTCGCTTGTCGTTGTTGCTGCGGTGGTGGCGGCGGCTGCTGGCGGTGCCGGAGCAGATTCCTTCTTCCGCAGGAGGACAACTGGCGTCTTTGCTGGTGTGGAGGCGGCCGGTGCGGTGGTATTTTCCGCCCCCTTGTTCTTTGCTTCAGCCGAAGTCTTCCCACCGCCGCCGCCCCGGCGCGAGCGGCCTGACTTGGGGGCAGTCGGGGCAGCTGGCTTCTCGGCCGACTGGGCAGCCGTGGCTGGGCTGGGCGTGGATGAGCTGGCTGCCGGCGTCGCTTCACCCGCTGCCGTGCTGGCTTCCTTGGTAGACGATGTCTTGGATTCGGCCTCTGTCTTGGCTGCGTTGAGTCGCGCCCTCCTATGAGCGCTTCCCGGACTCAGGCCAAGATCCCTCTGAAGAAGACGTGCGGCGGCCGCAATGTTAGCCCGTCGGCTCTTCGGGGCCTCAGAAGAGGAAGCTGCCGCCGCTGTGGCCTCGTTGATTTGGCTCGCCGCACTCTCCGCAGCCTTGGCCGCCTCAGCCGTCGCCTTTTTCGTCAGGATGCGCACCGTCTCTTTGGGCTTTTCGGGCGACTTGTTGGATTTGCCGTCCCTGTCTCTCTTGGACTTTTTGCCGTCGTCAGCGTTGGCCTTGCTGTTCTTGGTGCTCTGGGATTCCTGGCGAGCATGCTTAGCACTCTTTGCTGCAGCGGCCTCCTTCGCCCTGTTCGCCTTCTTCTCCTTGATGTACTCGATGAGAGGCGTAGTCGTGACCTTGGTGTCCGGCTTGCTCTCTCCTGCTGACGGATCTTCGCCTGTCTCGCCTTCCTTCTCCGTCTCCGGGTTGGTCAGAGACAGGAGGTAACTCATAAACTCTGGATCTTGGTCGATCGTCCCCTGTCTGGCGTCGGATCGTTTCCTGGCGCCGGGGATCTTCTTGTAGATGCAGTATTCTAGGGATGGCGGCCCAACGAGGCATGGGTTGTTGTGGGTGACCTTGGCGTCCTCCCAGGTCCTCGTCTGGACAATCTCATCGAGCTCCGCCAGGCTTTCGCGCTTCTTGACGTGCAGGTATAGACGACCGGGCCTTGACGACTTGGCCGGGCTGTAACATCGATCAGCCGTGCGCAGGATAGTTTCTGTCGAGCCGCATCAACCTACTCTTGCGACACCTTGCCCCGGGCGAAGTCACACCAGTCGACCAGGCCATTGCCGGCCTTCCACTTGTCGCCCAAAATGGTCCAGACTTCCTCCTCCGTCATGCCTGGGGGCAGCCTCCTGATGATGACCTTGTCGCCTTCGACGGGCGTCTTGCTCTTGTTGGATCGTGATGCGCTCGGCGCGTCGGTGGCAGACGAGTTTGCAGGCATGGGCAGAACACCGTTGGCCTTGCGGGAGGCCTGGCTGTCCTGCATGTTGAGTTCCTGGCGCCACGTAGCGTCTGGGCCTATGCGCGAGGTGTTGAACGGCGATGGTGCAGCAGAACGGTGAGCGATGACGTTAAGGACGTTGTCTATGGAGTGTTTCGTCGAGTGAGAGACCTGACCAATACATTGAAGATAAAGACAGGCTTGATCCTAGTGGCGAGACGGCACTGCACTCGTGAGTTTGGCCTGAAGATGAGAACGGGCGCAGTGATGAGTTGGATGGCAAAGGTACACACACTACTGTGGGCGCATCGACGGGAACACCCTTTCACGGGCTTAAGCTCTGGAGCGTGCACCTGGTTGACCTGGTGGGGGGGGTGCAGTGTGCAGTATTGGGCTGGATTGCATATCAGATAAAGGCAAATCATGTGACTTGTCTGATCCGACACGCACACACCGAGTGACTCACCGAGATTTCTCCCTTATCCCCACTTGAACCGTGCACCTTCCCTCCACACCTTGCCTCACCGAAAACTCGGAAAAACTTCGGCGAATCTATCACCAGTTCGGCCCTCACAATAATCCGTATCCCCCGAAGATAATCCGAGATGGCTCCATTCCCCAAACTGCCCCTGGACGACAAGCACGAGGGGAAGGGTGATGGAGCACAGACTGGCTCCCAAGACCAATCTGAGGCCAAGCCTGTGAATCAAGATAATCAGGGCCAGCCACAACAACAGCCTCTCTCGGAGGAACAGATCCAGAACTGCCTTCGCCGCGCGAACCAAGTATACTTGGACCCCCGAACTAACACCACCCGACGCAATACCAACGTCCCGGCCGGTCGTAACCGTAACAGAAGCAGGGCCATATCATACTCGACCCCTCCGCTACCCAATCTACCGCAATCGACCCCGAGTCAGGCCCCGAACCCGACCCAGCTCGGAACCTCCGTCCCGCGCATTGTCCTCAACGACACTGACGCACTTTTCGGTACCACAGCCGATCGAGACTTACTTCTCACTGGATCACGCGCTCGTGGTCTCGCTTCTGGCTCTGGACGTGGTCGTGGACACTCTTCAGCATATGAACCAGCCCGCTCCTTACCCTCTCTACCCCACTACTCTGACCGCCGTGCCGCACCTGGACGTGGTAGAGGTCGACCTGTTACCGTCGGAGCTTACGACAACCCTGTTGACGAGTCTGAACATCGTCGTGCCGATCGCGAAGCTCGCATCTCAGCCATCAACCAACAGCGCGAGGTCTTACGTACCCAGAGACGTCAAGATCGCGAGGCCGAAGAGTACTACAGCCAACAGCAACGCCAGCAAGCTCAAGGCCAGCCTCTCCCCCCTTCGCACTCTCGACCGCTCCCCTCGGCGCCTTCTGGAACATATCCCGTCGGCACCCCTATACACCTGAGACGTCCCGAGCCCCTTGCTGGTCAACAGCATATCCAGCCGCCGAGGTCTCCCCCCGGCCAAGGTCAGCAAAGCTCGCCCACTGGCGACAGTGAGGCATCTGACGAGTTAGAGTTCCATATTGGAACTGCCCGTATAGGTTACAAAGTCGTCGCGCGCACTCCTCGGTCGTTGCCCTCGTCGTCCACGGACCGTCCGGCGCTCACGCGGTCCTTCCCTGCGCAATCGCTGCTCTTGCCCCCTTTGTCGTCGTCCGTTGATCGCAAGCACACTTCGTCCCAAGTTTCGTCTTCGAAGGGCTCATCGAATAAAGACGTCCCTTCCAAGAACAGCAAGAAAGGCCGCACACCAAGTGCAGCAGTCCTGGGACCCACCGGACTACCTTCTGTCTCTGAGGAAGGTTCTGACGAAGGAGTTGCGTCTGTTGACGAAGACGAGGACGAAGAAGAAGAAGAGCCCATCGGCCTCTTCAACTCGCAACGTCCTCGCGACTGGGAACGCCGTGACGATCGAGGTCCTCCCCCCGCTGGTAGTACTAGAAGTACTGCGGGAACTGGCAAATCCGGCTCACGGAGCACTGATCGCGGAAGCAGCAACGAGAAGCGCAGCTCTTCTGGTGGCATCAAGCACTCTCGTTCCTTCTTCGGACTCAAGAAGAAGAGCGAGAAGAGCAAGACAGCTACTGTCCTGCACTAACCCTCACCATGGCTAGTCATATCCCGAGGCCCGGCCCGGCCAACCTCACTGCGAATGCGGGCCTTGATGAGTGGCTTGAGGAAGCCAAGCAGTGCCACTATCTACCGGAACGGGCAATGAAGGAGCTCTGTGAGATGGTTAAGGAGGTTCTTATGGAGGGTGAGTGAGCTCTTCAACTCAACGGAGACTACATTACTGACGTCCAAAACCCAGAGTCCAACATCCAGCCTGTTTGCACACCTGTTACAGTATGTGGAGATATCCACGGACAGTTTTATGATTTGTTAGAGTTGTTTCGCGTCGCTGGTGGTATGCCTGGCGAGTCCAATGTTGAAGCGCCAAAGACTTCGACCAGTATCATCACGTCGGAGGATATCGAGCCTCCCACAGAGATCACCAACCCCAAGCTGAGGAAGAAGATCAGAAGCAAGCCTTCTGATGAAACGATGACTGATGCGGACGAAGACGCGACTGAGGATCTCGGTACATCGCCTCGCCCTGACTCTGCTATTGAGGTAGCGACTTCGTCACAATCAGCGGACACACGATTCGTGTTCCTTGGCGACTTTGTTGATCGAGGTTACTTCAGTCTGGAGACGTTTACACTTCTTATGTGCCTCAAGGCCAAGTGAGTTGCCAAGTGAGACCTTTGGCTGAGGCGCAAGTTTCTAATCATCGACAGATATCCCGATCGTATCGTCCTTGTCCGTGGCAACCACGAATCTCGGCAGATCACCCAAGTCTACGGCTTTTATGAAGAGTGTCAGCAGAAGTACGGCAACGCTTCGGTATGGAAGGCATGCTGCCACGTCTTTGACTTCCTTGTGCTTGCTGCAATCGTCGACGGGGAGCTTCTGTGCGTCCACGGTGGTTTGAGTCCCGAGATCAGGACAATTGATCAAATTCGTGTTGTTGCGAGAGCCCAGGAGATCCCCCATGAGGGTGCGTTCTGTGATCTGGTGTGGTCTGATCCAGAAGACGTCGAGACGTGGGCAATCAGTCCCCGCGGCGCCGGCTGGCTATTTGGCGACAAGGTCGCCACCGAGTTCAACCATGTCAACGGCCTCAAGTTGATCGCCAGAGCGCATCAGTTGGTCAATGAGGGCTACAAAGTACGTCGTCATGCCTTTCCCCCCACTTCTCCCTGCCGCCCTATTAATATTCTCGGCAGTACCACTTCCAGCAGAACTCTGTCGTCACCGTCTGGTCCGCGCCTAACTATTGTTACCGCTGCGGCAATGTTGCCTCAATAATGACCGTTGATAAAGAGATGAACCCGAAGTTCAGCATCTTTTCGGCAGTGCCTGACGAGCAACGACATGTGCCTGCGAACCGTCGTGGGCCTGGCGACTACTTCCTGTAGAGGAAGCTGGTAGCATGTACATTATACCAAGGGGATTGCTATAGAAATGACTCAATGACCTGCATCGCTAGTGCTCCGGTGTCTGCCTCTCTGTGTATGGCTACATGGCCACGCTGCCTTGCCGATGCCAAAATCGAGTGCTGACCATCCAACTCGCCACGATCCTACTACTTACTATCGTACTGGAGTGCCAAACTTTGGTGCCACTGTTTCACTCCTGCCGCCCATGGTGTGCTCTTCGTTGCTAAACAGCCACGGAGCTACGTGGATGTGTAGATGACACATCTCTCTCGCCAGCTCGTACTCCTATCCAGAATTCGTCTGCCGCTCGCCTGGTGCTCGTCCGGACATCGTGTGCTTACAGAGCTTTCACACACTACTTTGTCGCTTCACCTTGCTATGCTTATTAACACATCATTTGTGATTTAAAGTGCTTGCTTGATTGACTTCCTCTCGTGTGCTTTTGAACACTCGGCCTCAAATTTCCCACTGATAGATCTTCTCTGACTTCTTTATCGAGTCCTTCGGCGGGTCATGGCTCTTCACAGTGTGGTATGTCGTTATAGTCTGGCCCTTATTACGGCTGATACAACAGCTGTTCACTACGTTGTTAGAAGGTCATTCAAATTCACACGCGTGTACGCACAAAGCACTGTTTGATGTCAAGATACCGGTAGGCCTTGAGCGTTGTATAAAGGGAATGGGATGTTCACGGCAGAACTCATGTGATGCTACGTGCTGAGCTCAAAGGCGAGACTGTAGTCATCGATCGTAGAATCAAGAGCGCTTGATTTCCCAAACCAGATCCTTGATGCTAACCTCCTCGCCTGCTTTGTCATCATAATCATACCACTCTCCGTCTGTAAGCTCGATGGCACTGAACTTGGTCTTTGTATCGATCGCGTCAGCGAGCCATTCGCCCTCGGGCACGAACTCGGTGAACTCGAGGCCTCGGCAGTCGAACTCGAGGAGCTTCTGCGCCTTGGCGGGTTCGGCCTGCTCATATGAGATGGGAGCGGCCTTGATTGTGGCCGAAGATTCGCGCTTGCAGTTCTTGCACTTCCACACAAAGTTGGCCTCACCACGGCTTCCGCTGATCTCGTTGTTCTCCTGATAGCGGTTAGGAGGAAACGCCTGTGGGAATTGTGAGGTATCATACGAAACGGCTGACGCCGACGGTATTGGCGTGCGTCTCACGGCATGACGTGCACTGGACCTTAAAAGTGTACCAGAAGGGGTTCTCCTCGCTATCGTCGGGGCGAAGATTGGTGACCCTAGCTTCGTATTAGTGGGCGCTCATCACAGGTCTGTACGTGAGTCCGGAATGGGTTTCGACATACCCTTGCAGTTCAGCCTTGAGCATTAACGCGAACATATTGAGAAATTCCGAGAGCCTGAACGACTGTTTGTCTGGAAAATAGGAGAGTGAGCTTGTCAAGAGTCGTGGCTGGGTTCAAATATTGATTTCCCTCGACATCATGGCGGGGGTCTGTTGAACCTGCGAGCGAGACTGGTCGGCGGGGCACGCCCCTCCAGTCGCATAATGCATATGCGGGGCGCTAGCCGGCTACCAACTTCTCCAGCTCATGATTCCATCTTCAGAAATCGAATGATCACTTCAAGTACGATCCTATCAGCGCGACCAGGCCCGATCATCTCGCAGAACGACCAATTCACTCGCGCACGCGAATTGCGAACTCAGATGCCAACAAAATGCAAGCGCTCTGGTCTAGAGCAGGCCAGGTGCGCTTGTGCGGCTGCAAGGGCTGCCTGCCTGCCGCCAGTGGCATGATTCGACAATCGACGACCCGTGTCCCGCGACGAAAACCGACGTTTGGCGAGTTCTTCACGGCCTTTTACACATCCATTATGGGAACCGCTGCCATGTACGATGCCAGGAGAAAGGATGCGAGGCGAAAAGAATTGGACCGTCAATTGGCAGAAGTCAGATCAGACCTGGAGAGGTTACTCGAGCCAATACCAGCATCGGACCTCGAGTCCGAGCCCGCGCCGCCGTCCGATATCTTTGATCGAAGCGACGGCATGTGGTACGACTACAAGAAACAACGCGGCTTTTCACAATATCTGGACGGCCTGGGCGATACATCGACGTGGCTAAGGAATGGCCCTCGATCTGCTGAGCTGGAGAGATGGCTGCGAACGTCTGGCCTACCTGGACTGGAGCCGTCAGCCACGGCAGCATCCGCATCGGACTACGAACAACTTCAGCAGAGGTTGCAACAGGAAGAAGAAAACCCGAATATCGCCCATCGCGTGCCGAAAACCAGAAAGCAATTGATCGCTGCGCAACATGCCGTTCGTTCGCTCGTGGTCGAGCTTCTTAGGGCAGCAGATCTCGGCAACCTCACCAGGCATGGACGCTTGGATCGGTCTGCCGAGACGGCCTCTGAGACCGAACTTCGGACGATGCTGAAACAAAAGTCATATCCTCTTTTCGAGACGTCAGGTCACGATATGGTCAAGGGCTCAATCGAACTCAACCGCAGCCTGAGGGCGATTCTGGCTTCGTCACAGGCGGCACTACGACGAGATGCGACTCACGACATCAGAGACAGCGTCACCAAAGTGTGTTACAACTTGCTGGTGTCACCTCATCCTCCAACGATCCACACTATCAGCACCCTCATTTTGGGGTTCGATCACATGGGAAAGCACGCCATATCGAACGCGGCTGTGAGGCATTTCCTCTATGCCTCGAGGACAGCGCCGACTGAGCAAGCCATGGTGTGCATGCTCAATCATTACAAGGAACAAGGCAACCTGGTCCGTTTTCACAAGCTCGTCGATCGCTTTACGGGTCGCGACCCCCGAGGCATTCATGTACAGAAGAGGGGGGTGGAAGACCTCCAGGCGTGGCTTTCACTGCAAACGTGGGCCAGGAGAAAGGACGTCGCATACCGCGACGACGCTTTCGTGGAACGAATGTGGTTCAGCCGCGACATACTGAACACCATCATCCAGGGCATGCTGTCATTCGACTGCTTGCGGCAAGCAACGGGCTTGATCAAGCTCTGCTGGGATCGCGGCATCCATGTCTGGACACAAACAGTGCTGCAGACACTTGATCAATGCGCACATGCGCTGGACGAGGATGTAGCGTGGAAGATGATTACAGCGCTGAAGAAGAACGCACACAGTATACGGCTTGGGCCACTCAAACAAGCGGAGCGCGATATGTTGTCAAGCAGGCTTCAGAGGCTGTTCGACATTTGCGAGCTAGAGACGTCAGTCGACTCGATCTTCCCATCACTCAAGTCGCCCAGTACGGGTACGGGGATGGGAATGAGCAGGACGAGACGCCAAGGCGCCCTGCAGGTGCTTGTTGTCAGGCGCAAGGTTGAAGTGGCGCAAGAAAAGTTGGAAGCACTCGAGTCTGCCGCGGAGGAGCATTTAAGGGGTCTTGTCATGCCACCCTCGTCTCCATTGAAGGACGCCGAGGCGATGATTGAAGCACCCCAACCTCTGCCGTCGCGGGCGGAGAAGGCGGTAGTGCCAACAACGTACGAAGCTCGGGGAAGAGCACCGATGATGAGCTTCATCCCCCCACAGGTTGAGGCGCACATGGGAAGCTGCTCAGCCTTTGGCTCGTAACTGGGGTGGGGGTTGTTGGAAATAGGATATGGGACGTGGGACGCGGAACAGACTGGTTCCTTCACGTCATGACGGTAGCGATCGATGTTTTGTAACACAACATGGGAACGGAGCGTTTTGAAGAATAGAAGCTCCAGTGCTCCAGCTGCTCCGAATAGAACGCAGCGCAGCGTATAGCAGATGCAGCACGAATAAGAAAATTCACAACAAACCAGACCCGACCCTAGGCCGTCTGCAAGCAATGAATTGACATGCCCACCCTACCAATCCATATCATCATCATCGACGAGCAGAATGTCACCGGTCTCGGCTTTGTGCCAATGGCTGTGAGGCACGTCTTTTTGCCTTCAGTCGACCAACGCCTCATGGATGTGAGGAGTGATGAGGGGGGGCCACCGATTATGTGAAGCTCCCACGTTCCTGGATCTCAGATAGGTGAGCTAGGTTGACGGCGGAGTGCGCACATCACTGGCGGTGGAAGACGGTACGATGCAAAGCCTGTTCGTGAAGTGGGCCAAGTTTCGTCATCGGCGCCAACCAGAGGGCGAAGGGAATGCACGGGAGGTGAGCCTGGCACATTGACTGGCCAGCCGACCGAGCCCGTGGGGGCCGTAGAGAGACGCCCTGGGCCAACTTTAGGGGGCCCTGCCCCCGCCAACGATCAGCTTCGAGAGACCCGGGGGCGTCGCTGCCTTCACTGATTCGGTCCTCAGACGGCAAACACAGCGAGCGCCCTCACTAGAGTGCGTCTCCAGGAGAAACCTCTGTAACCGCTCTGGACCCTTAAGTAGTCGTTGGTAACCACTGCCTGTCATTGATTTAAACGTTGACACGCCTCACCTACTGTCACATCCACCCTACAGGTCAATCCATCCTTTTAGTACACAACCTCAACCTCAACCTCAACCTCAACGTCAGACGATACTACACATCCCGTGTCCCTCCCACTCTCCTCTTGCCGTGGCCTGCGCCTTGCCAGCCTCAGCCTCAGCTCCAGCAACCAGGGACCAGAAAGAATAGGAACGCTTGGTCGCTGGACTCGGATCTTGCGGAGACTACCTTGGCTAGATCCGGGGGGGGGGCAGCCCTTGAACCCCACGAGCACTTCCTCCACTCCTGACTCGGTTTGGTTTGAGACCAGGGGGGGGCCAAGTTCACGAGAATGAGAAATGGCACATGATCTCATGCCCAGTCACCACGACGGCTCCCTTTGAGCACGACCCAGGCCATAGGTCACGAGACCCAAATATTGAATGAGCTCCCGCGCCTTCCCCTTTTTACGCCGCCCTCATCTCACGATCAGCTGCCTTTGGCTCACCGACTCTGAACCTCGTCTGTCAGGATTGAGTTCATTGTCTCGCCTCTCTTAGACCTGGACCCAAACCCGG